GTGCGTCTTATAATCCGGAGAATACGGTTTATATAAATACGTTTTTACACGTGTCTTTTATTTATGAATGCATTGCATAAGTAATGTGTGTAAGGGTGTTGCGTAGTGTACATAATTAATATCAATCTCATATCGTGTATAAATGTATCAATTTATGAAAATACTGAAGGTAAAAAATGCGTCCCATAATCTGGAGAATACGGTAATTGTAGTTGAAAAAATTGCACTTTTGACACACTGTGAAGCTTCGTCACCTAAGGAATGTGACGCGTGAGTAGAGTCCTGTAATTGTTAGTTGCTTTACTTCGTGAACACTGAGAAAACGTAGTAAAGGCAAAGGCGCAGCGCTGAAATTGAATTCTCACGCCACCGCTGGCAGAAGGTTCTCCCATCTCGAACGAACTCCAGAGGGTAGTTTGACCAAGCCACACGTCTAGGTAGAAGTTACCCACACTTTACCCCGCCACACGCAACCTGTTGATCATAGTCTAACTGTGGCTGTACTCTTTGTAAAGTGTTGGGTGGACAGATAATTTTATTTTTTTTAAACCCCCCCATTGCTTAGCTCCCTAGCCGGGAGGTGGAATTGAACTGACGCCCTCTGGGTCACAGGTCTAATTAGGTGCTTACGGCAGCGTTCATAGGCATTAAGTAGCAAAAATATATATACAGAAGGAATGAACTGATTTAAAAGTACAATAATATAACGTGACCGGCTGCTTTAACTCGCCACGGTACAGCCCAGGCACCAGGCACGTGTTCCTTTTTGCAAAGAGAGCGCTCCCTACATAATTCATCACATGCCGCTTTGGCGCGTTGTGAATAATAATCAATAATAAATAAATCTACCAAAGAAGGCTCTCTTCCAGCACGAAATAAAAATGAAATCGTCAAATAAAAGAATCACCGAGAGAGAGAGAGAGAGATAGATGCTCGCTGGGAATTTCACCGAGAGACGGGCATGAGGAGGAAAAGGGGACACGTGGGTCAGAGAGCATAGGCAACATAGAGACATCATATTGACAGCTCAGAATAATCAGAATCTGTATTTATACTGGAGGAATCCGATAAGCTATGAAGCTCTTTTTTTACAGATGTCCAGTAGCGTCAAAAAAGGTTCGTGGATAAGGCCTTACTTCTGTTTGAAGGCCTCATCGAGTCTCGAAGCTCTTTGGCAAGAGGGCCCTGCCAGTTTGGTCAATATCATTATGGAGAGTTTTGTTGGCTTCACATGGGAGCGGGGACCCGAGAGGACACGGAGACAACCCCATCACCGCGCGCTGTTCTCTCTACACGAGGGGCTGACACTCGGCACTGATATTAACTGACCACACCTCTGAATCGCACAAAACCTACAAACACGCTGGTGGTCATCCATACGACTACGAACCACGCTCCAGAACCCTGCTTAGTCCCATGAGATGTGACGAGGTCACATTCAGGATCACTGACATTTCGTGACCACTTCTCTAAACTAAACTAAACTTTTTTGTGTTTTAGGAGGTAAGCTATAATGGGTTTTTTTTCAGAAGCGACCTGGCAACAAATGATAGCTCAACAAATCATGTGGAAATTCATATCAGCCAAATACTCTAAATGAATGTTGATTCTGGAGGAGAAAACCCGGAGAACCCGGAGAAAAATCCACGCGACCACGTGGAGAGAGAGAGAGAGAGACACGCACACTCCAATTATAAAGCAGGCGTCAGGGTCTGGATCCACAACCACGACCTTCTGCGTACCAGGCGAGGTAGTTAACATCTCACCCCACACATACAACACACTGGCGGTCATCCGTACGACTACCAACTAGGCTCCAGGCCTGCTTAGCCCCATGAGATCTGACATGGTCGGGCGTGCTCACGGTCACTTTTGCCGTTAGGTCATCATGAGTAATGGGGAATGGTGGGTGGTGTGGGGGGGTCTTTCAATGCTTCAATGCGGTTTCCTTTCCGGACCGATACGTCAACTGCCAGGGGGCTTCTGGAAGTCTTCAGACTCTGGACGTCCGCAGCTGAGATGCCTCTCGGTCGGTGGCAATCGTCACTCGTGGGCCATTAACAGCATGGCCACGCCCCGTCTGCTGCCGTCTGCTGCTGCTGCTGCTGTTGCTGCTGCTTCACAAGTGGATGTTAAAGATCCCGTGACGTGACGGAGCAAGAGTTGGCCATGAATGTGTGCCGGCGTCATGGTCAAAAAAAAACTTGGTTTCAAGAAAAAAATTAACCTGGGAATCATTCAGTCGGGATTACGCGGTGCAAACATCAAGCGTATAATCGCAATGCCCGTCAATTGCTACTGCAAAACCATTTTGCCAAAGGATACATTGAATGGAAAATAGTGATTGATTTTACAACTAGAATTATAGAGTTTGTTTCAGTGAAAACACGTTTTCTTGTCAGGAAATAAAACATTGAGGAAATGCGTTACGGTAATCACGAAATCATGACATCTTGCGAAACGGTCAATGTGAAGGAATAACGTTGATCTTATTTCGTATGAGATATGGTCGTATCGCCAAATCGTGACAACCCTACAAAACCAATTAATAAAAACTGCTCATCAACATTTATGAAATGTTTCCTTCCACGCATTGATCGGCACCTCGATATACAGAGTACTACAGAGCTTGGGACGCTGACGGGTAGCCCCTCGAGTCGCCCTTTCCTCGTCCAGAGTGAGTGAACACCCCACGCATTCTTCCGAAACGTTGCGCAACTTCCCGTTCTTAAAACAAAGCCACTCTGTTGCGCGTGGTTTTGTTGTTGTTGTTGTTGCAAACACAGTTGTTGCTCGTTAGCGAGCTATTAAAAACTTAATTAGGAGAAGGCTTAGGAGACCAGACCCATCTCGCTCCCACCACCCCATCCGGGGGCTCCCCCTCTCTCGCCTTGTCGACCCGGGCACAACCAAGGCCGGCATGGGCCCTGGGGTAAACGGGGAGGTTCCATGCTCGGGGGGGGGGGGGGGGGGGGGTGGGTGAAGGGGCCTGTGACCAAACGGATGAATTGATTGTACCATCGTATAATGATATTCGTTTGTTGCGCAACAGAACGCAATGCAATTTAAGCTGAGCGCACAACGGTGTATGATCGCTGCAGTGCAACAACACGAAGCTGAATGACAAAATACGGCGACGAGAAGATAACAGTCGATAAATTAAATCGTTAAACGCAACGCACGCCTAGATTAAGTTACTGAAAGGGAACACAACACTGACGGTACAATGAACGGCGTCATTTGACAGTGTGTTGCTCGACTGGTTGCGACGTTCGTCTTATAAATGCGTGCGCATATTAAGTTATAGATGTTGAACTGTGTGCAAGGTCGTTATGTATTCATACCCGTCAACCCCTTATCAGTGCGTATCTTATTACGGACCAATTCAGACCTTATTGGTCACCCCGTGCCCCTTATAAATCTCAACGTTCATCCTACAAAGTCCCATCACAAGGGAGAAACACACAAATAGACAATCACTACTAGTACACTCACCACTACACTCACCACTACATGCCTGTCAACCCCTGATCAGTGCCCTATCTTGTTCCAGATCAATTCTGATCTTATTGGTCACCCCGTGGTCCTTATAAATCTCAACGTTCATCCTACAAAGTCCCATCACAAGGGAGAAACACACAAATAGACAATCACCACTAGTACACTCACCACTACACTCACCACTACATGCCTGTCAACCCCTGATCAGTGCCCTATCTTGTTCCAGATCAATTCTGATCTTATTGGTCACCCCGTGGTCCTTATAAATCTCAACGTTCATCCTACAAAGTCCCATCACAAGGGAGAAACACACAAATAGACAATCACCACTAGTACACTCACCACTACACTCACCACTACATGCCTGTCAACCCCTGATCAGTGCCCTATCTTGTTCCAGAGCAATTCTGATCTTATTGGTCACCCCGTGGTCCTTATAAATCTCAACGTTCATCCTACAAAGTCCCATCACAAGGGAGAAACACAAATAAATAGAAAAAAATGTTGCCCGTATTGAAACGGCTGTACGCCGTATAGACCTGAAAACTCAATTTCCCTTTTAAAGAAAACTGGTGAATTGTATGGGTTGACAGCTGTATAAATGCGAGCACGTTTTAAGTTATAGATGTTAAACTGTGTACATGGTCGTTATGTATTTGCCGTCATTGGACACCCGGGATATTCTGGCTTGCAAACTCGACATTCAATCTTTTACCGCAATTAGTGACGACATTTACATGACTTTTTTCAGCGGGCCATGTTTCACAGTCTATATCCATATATCAACTGCGGTTTTACCGACACGTAATAAAGTTCAACCACAGATCTCGGTTAAAATTCCTGCCACCAGGACACAGGTGCCCATTTCTGGACTGTCCCGGTCAAACACGGATAGGTGGCACCGTACATTTTTCACGATGAGTGACTTTGTCTGTGGTTCAGTAATACCCCGAGTGACATCTCCCTCCCCCCATTTACGTCGTTTCGCAAACACGTCGCCACTTCTTAATTAACACGGCGACCTGATTTGCGTCGCCGACGGCGTCGTCCGCTCTCCTCTCGTTATCCGTCGCGTCTCAGCCTTCGTCTCCAACCACCGCCTACTCGGTAAATCGCCTGCGGTTTTTACGTCGTTTCGACATTCTCCGTCGCGCCTTTCGGTGTTATCGCAAGGCCCGCGGGCCACTGGCGGCCCCCCTGGTGGCCTTCACTGGCGGCCCCCCTGACATGCAGCCCCCGACAATACGCGAATGTGAGAACACCCCCCCCCCATCATCGTGGCTGTCAAACCTCAATGGTTTCAAACGGTGTGGTGGCTCTCACGCCGACGATGTCTCGTCGGCGAAAGTGACCCCCCTGCACCCCCCTCCCCTGAGTGAAGGACACTGCTCTTACGCGCGGCGTTTTACACCCCTGGCCCACGCCTCTCTCTCTCTCTCTCTCTCCCGCCGTACCCCCTTCTCCCCCCCGCCCCCGCCCCCCCAAATCTCCCAACGCAGCCGTGCAGCGGGGACGCATGCCTTCGTCCATGCAGCACCCTGCGACTCCGGGGGGCGCGTACGCGCTGCAGCCCAACGGCGGGGACCCCCTGCTGAACGGCGCTGGGGGCCACGCCGCCTCGTACCTGTCGGGCTACATCTCGTTGCTGCTGCGCGCAGAGCCCTATCCGACGTCGCGCTACGGCAGCCAGTGCATGCAGCCCAACAACCTGATGGGCATCGAGAACATCTGCGAGCTCGCCGCGCGCCTCCTTTTCAGCGCCGTCGAGTGGGCCCGGAACATCCCCTTCTTCCCCGAACTACAGGTCAGCAGCGGCGGCGGGGGCGGGCTTCGATCTCGTCACCCTGGGGGCGAGATGTTAACTGCCTCGCCTGGTGTACAGGAGGTCGTGGCTTCGATCCCGACCCCCCCCCCGACGCCTCCTGTATATTTGGAGTTTGTGTGTCTCTCTTGTCTCGCCGTGGTCGCGTGGATTTTTCTTCGAGTCCTCCGGTTTTCCCTCCGCATTTAGAAGCATGCGTTTAGAGTAATCAGCTGCTGCTGTACATTTCGACGTGATAAGCCACTTTGTTGAGCTATCATCCGTGGCCAGGTCACTTCTAAAAAAGAGCTATATAGCTCAGTGGGCCCTTACCTGGTACAAAAAGAAAATAGTTTATATTCTTTGGGTCTTTCGGTAAAGCCACGTAGATAGAAAAAAATCATCACGACGTTTCGATCGCAACACAAGCAATCGTCATCAGGTGACAAAAATATAGCGAGAGAGCTGCCTCAAAACGTCGTGATAACTTTTTTTTCTATCTATGTGGCTTTACCGAATGACCCAAAAAATATAAATTCCTGAAGTCACGAAAGTGTTTAAGTCAAGATTTAAATAGTTTACAGTTTAGTTTAGAGTTTGTGCGGATCTGGTCTCGCCCGACGGAGTTTTCGGGAGATTGTTCACGGGGGTCTCCGCATCGATTGCCAGGGGGGAGGGGTCTCCAGCCTCTCCACAAAGTGCCTCGATACCGCATTGAATTCTCCAGATTGTAATGGCATGCCTATATAACTCATGGTCTCTAGGGCAGTGGTTCCCGACCTTTCTGTACCCGAGGGCCACTGTCAACCCCCAACAAATGCTTGCGGACGACCACGCACCTGCAACATATTTTTTCAGAATCAAAACGACTGCACCAGGCGCAAACATGACTCTGCACCAGGCACAAACATGACTCTGCACCAGGCACAAACATGACTCTGCACCAGGCACAAACATGACTCTGCACCAGGCACAAACATGACTCTGCACCAGGCGCAAACATGACTCTGCACCAGGCACAAACATGACTCTGCACCAGGCACAAACATGACTCTGCACCAGGCGCAATCATGACTCTGCACCAGGCACAAACATGACTCTGCACCAGGCACAAACATGACTCTCCACCAGGCGCAATCATGACTCTGCACCAGGCACAAACATGACTCTGCACCAGGCGCAAACATGACTCTGCACCAGGCACAAACATGACTCTGCACCAGGCACAAACATGATGCTTTGCCACGAATATTATCGACGAACCCGAATAGCTGTGCAATGAGCAAGTAAAAAATACGGTATTCTTTGAACAACATTCGTATCTGCTACGTTTCCACGGAGCACTTCCCACGGCCTTGCGGGACCCCCTGCGGTCCACCGTGCCACAGGTTGAGAATCGGCGTTCTACATCAGGCTGGGAACCAGAGTTGGGAACCCTACACCAGTTCTATAGACTCCAAATCAATTAGATGGTGTCCAGATCATCTGCGTCCCTGACACCCGCTCCCCACTTCGCCCGACCCTGACCCCACTGCCCACCTCCCGCCGCGCGACCCCGGCTGTCAGGTGGGGGACCAGGTGGCGCTGCTGCGGCTCGTGTGGAGCGAGCTGTTCGTGCTGAACGCCGCGCAGTGCGCCATGCCGCTGCACGTGGCGCCGCTGCTGGCCGCCGCTGGGCTCCACGCGTCGCCCATGTCCGCCGAGCGCGTGGTGGCCTTCATGGACCACATCCGCATCTTCCAGGAGCAGGTGGAGAAGCTCAAGGCGCTGCACGTCGACTCGGCCGAGTACAGCTGCCTCAAGGCCATCGTGCTCTTCACGTCCGGTGAGGTCGCGCCGGACTGCTTGATACTTCGTTACGTTTTGCTTTACCCGTGACCGCCTTAGCCGAGTTTCGAGACCGTTCGTCGGGAGGGAGACCGCTACTTCGCTATTATTGTCATCAGTCCATTGTTGAGAGTCGCGGTGGTGAGATGTTAACTCCCTCGCTTGGTATGCAGGAGGTCGGGAGTACGATCCTGACCCTGACGCCTGTTGTATAGTTGGAGTGTGCATCACGTGGATGTTTCTCCGGGTCCTCCAGTTTTTCCCTCCACATTTAGCAACATGAATATTTGGCTGCTATAAATTTCCACGTGATAAGCCAACTTCGTTGACCTATCATTTCTGGCCAGATCACTTCTGAAAAAGAGCTACATAGCCCAGTGGGCCTTACCTGGTAACAATAAAAAAATTATAATGACTTAAAGCTTTCGTGACTGCAGGAATTCATATTGTTTGGATCTTTTGGTAAAGTCACGGAGATAGTTTGAAAGAAAATATTGTTGTTTTTTGTTATTTTTTGTTATTCTATTTGAACCTATCTACGTGACTTTACCGCAAGACCCAAAGAATTAGCTTAGATTAGATAAGAGTGGCTCTGTGTGGGTGGAGAAAAACCAACGTCACTACGATGGGGGTGACACTTAAAGCTTCCCGTTGCCTCTTCCGTTCGTGCTGCTGACTCCCCTGCCCCTCTTCGAGTCGAGACTCGCCAAGACGTTGCTCTTCATTCCGTGAACAAAATTTGTTTTATGACGTTTCCGCATGCAGCGCCCTGACATGTGCTCGCACACAGACGCTGTACAAATCCACTTTGAACATCATACAGTGGCTTAGGCCCGCAGGATGACATGCTGTGAAGTTGGTGGTGGTTGGGCGGGGGAGAGCGAAGAGCAGGTGGGAAAAACAAAGGGATGGATGGAAGGGCACGTGGTTCGTAAGGACGTAACCCGGACCGGGTCCCATTCGGTTCGAAGCCCGGGGTCAAGCACCGGCACTGGGGTCAGGCACCGTAACCGCAGAGCGGTCACTGACGCCGTGCGGTTGGCACGGGGCCCAAGGAGTGAAATGAGCGGTCCCACCTCGCCCTGTCCACCCTCCCCCGCGTCTGTGCCACCGATCCGGCCCGAGGGATGGATGTGTGTATGTGTGTGGCTGTGCGCACGCGTGGGAGTTTGTTTATTGTACAGGTCGTACTTAATAGGCGCTTGCTGACAGCACTTGTCTCAACGGTCTATAAGATTATATATATGGGGCGCTTTGGCTTTGTTTATGTCTTTGCGTGGGGAGTAGTTGCCGCATTGGTTAGCACGCTGAGCTGTGAACTCGGTTAACTGAATGTCAGTGGCGAGTGACGTCTGTTTCGGTCTTGGGCCTAAACGAGTACCTCTTGTGGTGTTTCAGCACAGGGGAGACAAAGGCGGGCGGGTGTAGTGCTGGCTACCCACCACATGTACTGTGTCAGCCTTCATAGGTGCTCGCTAACAACACTTGTCGCTGTGGTGGTGTGAGTGTAGTTGTGGTGGTGGTGTGAGTGTATTTGTTGTGGTGGTGTGAGTGTATTTGTGGTGTGAGTGTATTTGTGGTGGTGTGGGTGTATTTGTGGCGGTGGTGGTGTGAATGTATTTGTGGTGATGGTGTTGTGAGTGTATTTGTGGTGATGGTGTGAGTGTATTTGTGTTGGTAGTGTGAGTGTATTTGTGGTGTGAGTGTATTTGTGGCAGTGGTGTGAGTGTATTTGTGGTGGTGGTGGTGGTGGTGTGAGTGTATTTGTGGTGATGGTGCTGTGAGTGTATTTGTAGTGATGGTGTGAGTGTATTTGTGGTGGTGGTGTGAGTGTATTTGTGGTGTGAGTGTATTTGTGGCGGTGGTGTGAGTGTATTTGTGGTGGTGGTGTGAGTGTATTTGTGGTGTGAGTGTATTTGTCGTGGTGGTGGTGTGAGTGTATTTGTGGTGGTGGTGTGAGTGTATTTGTGGTGGTGTGAGTGTATTTGTGGTGTGAGTGTATTTGTGGTGGTGGTGTGAGTGTATTTGTGGTGGTGGTGTGAGTGTATTTGTGGTGGTGGTGTGAGTGTATTTGTGGTGTGAGTGTATTTGTTGTGGTGGCGGTGGTGTGAGTGTATTTGTGGTGGTGGTGTGAGTGTATTTGTGGTGATGGTGTGAATGTATTTGTGTTGGTGGTGTGAGTGTATTTGTGGTGGTGTGAGTGTATTTGTGGTGATGGTGTGAGTGTATTTGTGTTGGTGGTGGTGTGGGTGTATTTGTGGTGGTGGTGTGAGTGTATTTGTGGTGATGGTGTAAGTGTATTTGTGGTGTGAGTGCATTTGTGGTGGTGGTGTGAGTGTATTTGTGGTGATGGTGTGAATGTATTTGTGGTGTGAGTGTATTTGTCGTGGTGGTGGTGGTGTGAGTGTATTTGTCGTGGTGGTGTGAGTGTATTTGTGGTGTGAGTGTATTTGTGGTGGTAGTGGTGTGAGTGTATTTGTGGCGTGAGTGTATTTGTGGTGTGAGTGTATTTGTGGTGGTGGTGTAAGTGTATTTGTGGTGGTGGTGTGAGTGTATTTGTGGTGTGAGTGTATTTGTGGTGAGGGTGTGAGTGTATTTGTGGTGTGAGTGTATTTGTGGTGATGGTGTGAGTGTATTTGTGGTGTGAGTGTATTTGTCGTGGTGGTGGTGTGAGTGTATTTGTGGTGTGTGTGTATTTGTGGTGGTGTGAGTGTATTTGTGGTGATGGTGTGAGTGTGTTTGTGGTGGTGGTGATGGTGTGAGTGTATTTGTGGTGGTGGTGTGAGTATACGCGCGGCGTGAGTCAAGTGCTGATGTGCTCGTGGGTTTGGGAGTGTTGTGGACACGCAGTCGGATAAATGAACACATGAACGCACAACGAGAGTGTGGGCGGTCGCTTAAACGATCGATGGATCGGGGCTGTGGAACAGCGACGACTAAACGGCGGTGGTGGCTGTCTTGGGGGGGGGAGGGTGGGATTCTATTGACCGGCTTGAACGTGCAAAGGGTGCTTTATTGTGTTTGTGTGCGAGAGAATGGATCCTCTGTGTGTGTGTGAGAGAGAGAGAGAGATGCGTCTGCGTGCGTGCGTGTGGGACAGAGTGTGGGGGACGGTGGTTAGCGCCCTGGGCCACGGACCCCAGCGACACGCTCACGGCCAACATCAGTGACGATTATCTGAACCGGTCACGGGCCTCGGCTAGGTCGACTCAGCCTAAAATTAGTAGCTGGTGCGGTGTGTAAACATCGCCACTGGGGAGGCAAAGGTCGCTGAGCGTTGCGCTCGCCACCCACCCCACTCGTGTGCCGTGTCGGCCTTCATAGGTGCTGCTCGCTAACAGCACTTGCTCCAACAGTCTGTTCCAGGCTATACGGGGGATCTTTGTCTTTGTTTGTGGGAGACAGTGCATGTGTGTGAGAGAGAGAACGTGAGAGAGAGAGACTGCACGTGTTTGTGAGAGGGAGAATGCGCGCGTGTGTGTGTATGTATGTATGTGAGGAGCGGTGGCACAACGGTTAACACACAGCGTTATAATTGAGTTTGATTCCCGGCAACGGCTACCACCAGTGGCAAGCGATTTCAGAACTGGTCCTGGGCCATCTGTAGGTTGACTCAGCCTTCATAATGTATCTTGTTCGATGTGTAAACATCAGCACTGGAGAGACAAAGGTGGCTTACGCTGGAGAACTCGGTATTAATCACAACTCTGTCTGAGGCTATGGGTCTCTATGCGAGCCTGCCATTTACTTTGTAAGTCTCTATGTTGGTCTGTGGGTCTCTAGGTCTCGGTGTAGTCTATCGGCCTCCGCGTTAAGCCTCTGTGTGTCTGGCCTCTGGGCAAAAATCGATGGTGAACAGGTCACGCGTTGCTCCCTACTGTGCGTGGACCCGAGGTCACTTAAAGGGAACTCGGCGGGAGCTCTCCAATGCCTCCTTCCGCGGGCCGTTTTCCATGTGCCTTTAAACCCGCCACCACCCGACACGGCCGATTAGTAAGATTATACATTGACACGATCTAACCCTCCCCCCCCCCCCAAAAAAAAAAACTGTCATATGGATGACATTGGTCGCGAAAGCCTACGTGTTAAAACAGTTACAATTAAATCTCTCTCTGTCTGTCTGTCTCACCGCGTCCCGTCCCGTCCCGTCCCCCGGTCCCGTCAGACGCGTGCGGCCTCTCGGACACGGCGCACGTGGAGTCTCTGCAGGAGAAGTCCCAGTGCGCACTTGAGGAGTACGTGCGCACGCAGTACCCCAGCCAGCCCACGCGCTTCGGAAAGCTGCTGCTGCGCCTGCCGTCACTGCGCACCGTCTCGTCCGCCGTCATCGAGCAGCTCTTCTTCGTGCGGCTCGTCGGCAAGACGCCCATCGAGACGCTCATTCGCGACATGCTGCTGTCGGGCAGCAGCTTCAACTGGCCCTACATGTCCATACAGTGACGGGCGTCGCGGTGACGGCGGCGGCGGCGACGACGCGGGGCTTCGAATTTCGTTTCCCACCCGCCCGGAGCGAGCAGTACGATGGATTTGGAGTGCCGGGTGCAGGGAATTCTTGCCGGGTCGCCGCGTGGATCGGAGCGGTTGCCGCGTCCTTGGAGTAGCCGCGGCCACCGCGGGAGAGGAGGATGCGGCGTTTGCCCTGGAGCGGGAGTCGCGTTTCAAAGCTGGATGGACCCCAGCTGAAATTAATCCCTGGAACTGGACAAGAGGAGCGGAGGAAGATGCAAAGTGCGCTGGTGGTGATTCATGGGGAGTGGTGTAGGATGTACGGTGATGATGATGGTGGTGACGGTCGGGGAGTGACGTGTGGAGTTGGTTGTGACCATTGTTGGCATGATTATGAGTTACAGTAGCTGTAGCAATATGCACTTTCCATCACCATCATCAGCAGCATTGCCATAATAATAATTATGAACATCATAATTCTATTCATAATCACCATCAAATCATAATCTCTGTAACGAACCACTATATCATGATCATATGTTCATCAGCAGGACCAACGGCATTACATCATCATTTATTTATCAGCAGCAGTAACACCGATGTCATCACGAACATCAGCCGTGGTCAATCCGCTGCTGGACAAATATTTCCCCAAGCCGACACTGCATCTCGCGATCCTGCGGTGTAACGATCTACGGATCGATTCATTCTCCGCATTTCTTCGGCGTGCATTCTCTCAGATGTGTCCCATGACCACCACCACCATCACCACCATCGTCAACACTGAGCAAAGCACGCCCGTCAGCTTCACAGCGGACGCTAAAATAACACCGTGGCGTAGCTGTAGAAGAGCCCACGACCCCAGAGTAAAAACAAAAAAAAGAGACGCGACTCTCGGTCGATGTTGACTCGTTCGCAAAGACGAGAGGCGAGCGACCCGGAGGGAACGGAACTTCTCGCGAGTGAACATTCGGAGTGATGTCGTGATCGCACGCAAGCCGAGACGCTGACAACGTACGTACGCACGACGGTGAACTCGCAGTCACGAAGCCCAATGTAAGTCGGTCTCCGGAGCTGCCCTACCCCCGCTGCACGCGCGGATCATACCGCCTGCGGAAATATTACGTGAAACGGAGCGAACGCTGAAAGACAACGGGCACACAAATGAAACGTACGCACCACAACACAGAGACGGCGATTAACATTATACGTGTGTGTGTGTGTGCATTTAACCTTGAAGGGGGAGGGAAACTGTAGAACTTTTTTTAAAATTGTACGTCGCCGCGCGCGCGTATGTGTGAGCGTGCGTGCGCTATTATTTGCGTCTGTCGAGATTTCTCATTTTCGCGTGGAAGGACTAGGGAGGGGGGCTCGTGATTAAGAGGCTCATTTTAAAATCATCGCAGGTATTTTCTTTGTTTTACTTACTGCAGAGGCTCGCCACGCGATTGTGCCGTGAAGCTGTCCGATGTGGCCCTCGAATTGTGGCGCTTCTTGCTCGGGCGCCACGCCCGACGTTTCATTCCACGTGGCCGGAGGCTTCTTCAGGAGCGGAAGATCTAAATCTCCTGGCGTGTGGAGCGGAACGTTGGACATCGTGCCGAACAACACGCGGTACAGCCCGGAAAAAAGGCAGCGGATGGAAGAATTTGCGGTTTTTGCTTTGTCTTTACTGTCGCTGAGATGAAATGAAAGTTTCAACGTTTCGGATGACCGGCCTTTGCCAGGGAAGAGGCAAAAATCGCTCAAAATGGCAGAGATCGTCCTTGACTCGCACTGATGGGGAAACAAAGCAAATAAACGAAGAGGTCTTCACTGCCAGTGCCGCTGACGCTGCCACACTGCGCCATCGCTTCCTTCCTTCTGCCAGAACCCACAGCTGTTGCAAAGTAGACATCCGACCTACGAGATTTGTTTCATACGGCCCCACCACCACCACCACCACCTCCACGTGACTTAAGGTTTTCAACTCGGATCGACAGCCCCTGGCTGACACTCCACCTGTCTGGGTGATCTGCCCTCCACCACCCTGTACCACGTGTCCCCACCCATCATGAACACCTCCTGATGACATCTACAGCACTCTCCTGCCACGCTCTGTTACGAACCTACAAGTCGCTTATCTCATGAAATTTCCAGCTTCCTCCGAACGCACCCTGTACTACTCAAAGGCTAGGTTCTTTTGTTCGAGTCATTTTGTTAAAGACCAGCTGTTATTGGCGCTGTTATTATGCTTGTTATGAATTAACCAGCAATCCGTTGCGTACGTTCGCAGATGTATACTTTATCTAATAATGTGTGGGGAGCGGCGGTGTAGCGGTTAGCGCGCTGCGCTCCGAACCTGGTGATCCGAGTTCGATTCCCGCTCACGGCCAACATCGGTGGTGATTGTCTGAACTGGTCCTGGGCCTCCCCTAGGTCGACTCAGAATCAAATTAGTATCTGGTGAGGTGTGTGTAAGCATCACCACGAAGGAGACAAAGGCTGCCGGGCGTGGTGCTGGCCACCCACCCCCTTCGTGTGCCCTGCCAGCCTTCATAGGTGTTCGCTAGCGGCACTTTCCCCCAAAAAGTCTGTTCAGGCTATACGGGGGAGTCTTTGTATATCTCCTAGTGTGGATATGCAGAAACATGCGTTTAGAGCGTTTGGCTGCTATAAATGTCCACGCGATGATGAGCCACTTCGTTGAGCTATCATTTGTGGCCAGGTCGCTTCTGACGAAGAGCTACGCCGCTCGATGGGGGCCTTACCTGGTAAAATAAAAATAGGACTCGCAGTTTAGTTTTATGCTGCGAGCTGTGTGTGTGTGGTGTACCCACTGCTTAGCATCGCATTTCCTATCTCACACTCGGATTCCCTCTCCTCCTCCACCCACTGCTCTCTCCTCTGTGCTCCTCTCGCTCCCTGCTCACGTGCGGCAGGATGCTTGCTCTGAATTAAATATGAGTTCCAATCTGCTGCTGCTGCTGCTGACACAAGCAACATTCCCTGCCCTCGTTGCGGTCTCTACCACTTACGTGAAAAGATAAAGGAGCAGCCCTGCAACTGCCCACCACTTGCTGTGCAAAAGGGCCTCGACTAGAGGCAGCTCTAGAGACGCGCCCTCTGGAATGTAATTGGTCTACTCTTCCACACTGGCCAGACATCATAGAAGACGTGGGAATACCCACACTTTACCCCACCATACGCTACCTGGGTAGACAGAGGTGGTGGTGGGGGGGGGGTATTGGGTATTGTTGTTTCAACTGCCGCGCCAGGAGGTCGAATCAAACCTCTGGATTGCAAAGCGCAGTGGGCTCACCGTTGCACCAACCACTGTTGTTAGTACTGTGAAAACTCCTGACAGCTTAACACTGCCGATGTTACTCTGTTGTCAGTGGTGGGTAGTGGGAGGGGGGGGAGGGGTTAACCATACTTCACCACACTGGTTGTTGCGGGTTGGTGAAAGGGGAGGCCCAGAACGCCACTGACGTTTATCTGTTGCCGAGTATTGAACTTGAACGCAGGCCACGGTGTTGATAGAGCAGTGCGCTAACCGTTGCGCCACCGCTCCGCTCACTGCATCCTGTACACAACACTCGTGCACATGAAAGCAAGCACGTACGTACATACACACGGACAAACATACACATTCACGCGCACGTAATATATATTCTGTACGTACGTACGCACAAATACACAAAGATACACATGCGTGCACACAAACGTATATATATACACCACGCATACATTGTGTACGCGCACATACACATAGAAGCAGACATGCATAAACACACGTACACAGAAAACATCGCCGTTTAAGAACCACACAGACTTCAGGAGGAGCAAGAGCTGTTAGCGAGCACCTATTACGGTCGGCATGACACACACGTTTAATGTGAAAGGGGGTACCATGATGAACACCAGCAATAACACATGCCTGACCGCCTTTGTCTTCCTAGCGCTGACGTTTTTGATGTCAATTTAAGGCGGAATCGACCAAATGGGACGCACATGACAGATTCAGATAGCACTTGGCCCAGAAATGTATGTAGACCATGGTTGTAGATTAAGAATGCAGTACAACACCACGTGTCTATACGTTGAGACTGCTGGTGACGCAAGTACTTCTTGCCAGCATCTGTTACATTTCAGCACCGTTCACGAGGAGGCGATAATCGGAAATAATTTTCAAGAGGGTTCTGATTGGGATTATAATTCATGTACAGCCCTTTGCCAATCCACTGCTGGATGGATGGATGCACCCCCCTCACCCACCTGCCCAACTCACAACGTTTCAGTTGTTTACTTATTTTTTGACCATACTTCACCACGCTGGTCAGTGCGGAATTGGTGAAGTGTGGTGAGGGCCCAGGACCTGTTTGGGTATCGCTCGCCACTGATGTTAGCCGTGAGCGGGAATCGAACTCGGCTAGCAGGGTTCATTTGCACGGCACGGAAACCACTGTCCCACCGCTCCACCGCGGCTTGGGACGTTAGACGTTTGTTGATAATTAATACTGTGATATTATTTAAAATAAATTATTATACAAGCGTTATTCACGTAAATTATGTGCACGCGACATCCCCATTATGAAGCGTCGATTCATCGTCAGCCGTGGTCAATCCACTGCTGGCTCGAGGCCTCCCCAAAGCCACCCGCCGTCTCTCAAGTTGCTCATTTTCGTCGATCCATCTCCTCCCGTAGGCGGTTCCTCTCGGATCGGAGGCGTCCCATTCCTCGCCAGAAGCTTTTGGTTAATCCGCGTGCGTTGCAAGATCCGATTTGTGATTGAAATGGCACGCGCGTCCGACCGTCGTGAAATATCCGGACAGACAAGCGGGGCATTTGTGAGGTCAATTCCTCGGAATGGTCTCGACGTTTTCCAGAGACTTGAAATGTGTCACCAGTGAAAAATCTCACGGATCGAACGTGGGGTGAGCCCCCACCCCCCCCCCCCCGGAAAATCGTCGGTGGACTGAGTAATTCGCCTCCTGTGCGATGTGACGCCTAAATCCGATAGGTTACCATTACAGAATAGCATCTAAAGACTGTCGTGGACAACTCAGACCCGCGTGTCACGTTGGTTTCGAGTTCAAATCCCGGTCGACTCATCGTCACCATCACCACCACCACCACCACTCCGAATGGGGTCGATAAAATTAGTACCACTTTGTGGGATGTCAACTCCAGGTTGTCCTATCCATTCACTCGCCGTGCGAATGTGGAACTTCCACACACTGGATCAGAGTTGGTAACTGGAAGGTATTTGAGCAACGAGGCACAATCGTTATGTGAATATCTATTGTGTATCGGGACTGATAAATACAAACATCCACAGTCTCGCAACATGATGATGTCTCGGACGTAAAAAAAGGTGAAACGACACCTATACACGAGAGGGACACTTAAATGTGTAATATTTTGTAAAAGTTTTACTGAAGAATTGATTGAATACGATTCATTATATATGTTGTACGTGCTTTTTAAAACATAGAAAAACGGGCAAGACTGTCTAATGTATGACTGTATCGTTATTATAATTGATATTAATACCGGTTCATGATAAGCGGTGTGCTGTGTTTGATCTGAAAATGTATGGGTTATTATTTTTTGAGCCAGTGTTGATTTAAGATTTGTGTGTTTGCTTATGTTAATGAATTATGTTGTAATTAACACGACACTATTTATACTCGTACATAACGCCACGAATTTCACTATGCACCGAACATTTCACAAATTAATATTTTTTTACATCTGCACTCAAAACAAGCCAACACACAAACGCTATATCTGTGTGTGTGAGCGATGTGCTGTATATATCTTCCAATGATTTACGTGTGAACATGTGTGTGTGTCAATGTGTCCGAAGTTTGTTGTGTGTACGTGTGTTTGTCTTTGTATGTGTGTGTCTTTTTTTATTTGTGTGTGTTTGTCTTTGTGTGTGTGTGTATATGGGGTGCAGTGGAAATGGGGAGCGGTGGTGGAGCTGTTAGCGCGCTACGCTGCAAACCCGGCGACCAGAGTTTGATTCCCGCTCACGGCCAACACCCAGTGACGATTATTGGAACCGGTGCTGGGCCTCCCCTAGGTCGACTCAGTCTCAAATGAGTACCTGATGCGCCGTGTAAACATCGCCACTGGGGAGACAAAGGCGGTGGGGCGTGGTGCTGGCCACCCACCTCCACGTGTGCCGTTCCGGCCTTCATAGGTGCTGCTCGCTCACAGCACTTGCCTCAACAGTCTGTCGAAGGCTATACGGGGCGTTTTTGTGTGTGTATGTATGTTGTGTGTGTTGTGTGTATTTACGTATGTGTGTATGTGTGTGTATGTGTGTTGGCTGGGTCATGTAGCCCGCATGCCCAGCCACCGCATGCCGAAACAGCTTTAGTTCGGCCGGATCGAGGGGGCTAAACGGGCGCGGCACGGGCTAGAGAAGAGATGGAGTGATGTGGTACAGGAGGACGTGGAGCTGAGTGGACTTGCCGATGACTGGTACCAGCGGTGTCAAGATCGGCCTCTGTGGAGAAGGCTCGTGAAGGACGCTACTGGGCAGTTGGAGGTAGTCGCCCTCCAACAACAACGGAGGGTGGAGGAGCGACGCTCACAACAACGAGCGGAGCACCGGGTGGCTAAA